ACTCATGACCTTATTGTATTTCGAATAAATGAAGAGGGATTAAAATTGGTTTATAATGGACGAAGTAGACGTGGATGTGGATGTTACGTATGCCAAAGAGAAGGCTGCTTGTAGGCAAGACGTATATTAAGAACGGGAAACGGTACTAGCGGTGAGTCTTACTGACAACGCGTATTTGGCATGGGAAAATGTCTGAAGGTTGAAGGCTGCCCAATCAACATAAGAAAGGTCTGAACCCGTGTCCACACCCCTGTCTGCCTGTATGGGGCGTGATGTCTGGACCGTACGGATAGCATACGCTGCAGTGGAGCTTCACCTTAGCGTTGTTCATACAAAGAACATACAACTGGACAAAATTATCTTCGTTATGATGGGAAGGCAGCACATGCTGTGAAGCTACAGTCTGCCTGCAAATCAGGAGCGTTCTCCTGTATCTTATGTGGAAATCTGCGACTGATATTAAACACCTCTGTTCGGACCAATACAATAAGCATTTGGGTTTAACTCACCCAAGAAAATTTTGCCTTGCCATGGAATGTTGTTCACTGTGAAGCACACTATCTCAACTTGACGGACGTTCTCGCTGTTTTTGGCCCTTGAATTGCTGCTAATACTTGTTGTTCATCCGTTAAACTCTTTGAGGGGCATCACTGCCGGTAGCGCCACAATTGACTTGCACAGCGAGATGGAATTTTGCCGCCTCAGCCACGCCCATTATCCTCCTCGAACGGCAAGACACACTCAAGCGGACTGTAGTTTAAGCCTACTTGTAATAACCGACTTGGCGTGACGTCCTAGTTGACGCCTGTCATACATGTGCTGTTCCTACTATCCACTGGGGGGCGCTGGCGGATTTGCATAATTCCTTTGACCACATTGTGAAAAACTGGCGGCCTTATGAGTGATTCGAACCCACAACAGCAGGGGGAAGGCTTCGGTGCAGCCAACGCTCCAAATATCTGAGCCATGAGATCCCCACCGAAAGGCGTTGATTTAGTCACAATTAGGTCAATTTACCGGACTAGCCTACCGCAACGTATGCAATCAACCAATTCTGATACAGTGAGCTGACTGCCCATGCAGGATTTCCCAGGCAAATAATCTAGCCCTCGTCTGGTTTCTCCTACTAACGAGAATTTGGTAGGGATACATCGTAGGGTTGCCCGATGGCAAAAGTCTCCTAGTCCAAGCCTTTCACGGAATTCGCGGTTAAAGGTTTAATGCTTCATCAATGAGCAGTTAATGCGTGGTAAGTGCATAATATAATGCAAATTAAGCCACTTGTTATTGTCTTACTGAACTAAAACGTAGTTAAAAAGGTTGTAAAATGAACAAAAAATACCTGGAAAACTATATGAGCAACTCTTGGTAGTTAGCAAAGGAAGCCTATGGACTAAGAAGACTATTAAAGTAACTCCTATTACCATTAGGCAGCCCCACTGGGGGTTTTTTCTGGGACTTGTACTCTTTGAAAGCTACCTTATAAGTGCGTGTATCAAGCAGTGTCAGAGTGGACTATCCGTCTTCTGCAGAGTATAGGTACTTCGTTGCCAATACCGCTTTTATAGCCATGCTGTCACTCTTCTAGTATTTTGGTAATTACAAGTCTTTGAATGCCCTGGCTGTCAGTTTTGGTCGTGTATTTCTACGGTTTGTCTCTTGCTCTTTAGATGACAACGGCGGTGGGCATTTCCTCCAACCATACCGGTAGCCGTGGAGTGGCTGCGGAAGTTGCCGGACTTCCAGCCGGCCTTGATGCTGGCTGTCAGGCCGCCGCTGTTCCCCTGGTGGAGATCATCGACTCAGCCGCTCTCAGCCTACGTCCTGTGTCCGCTGCCCCTCCGCCGCTATGTCGCGATCTGGTGATCGCCTACTTTGAACGCCTTCTCTTGCTGGTGCAGTCCGCGCCGGACGGGGACT